TCTTATTCACAGAAGAAGTCAATATCCTGGAAGGGGGGGAAAGATCAAATTTGCAGGCTGGTTCCAAAAAAGCAGGTGCAGATTTTTAATTTAAAAATAATATTTAATTTTGGATTTGGTATAAGTCCAGGTTGAAAAACCTAAGGTTTTGAGATAATTATCACTATAAGTCCAATACTGTTTAAGACAAATTTCAATACACCCCTAGTTTGTAGTTTTTTCACAGACAGAGCACAGTGCCATGCAGCAATGTTAGCTGGGCTGTGGCTGTTGGACTGGGCTATGTTTGAAGCATAGCAGTCAGCTTGGGAAACACACTTCAAAATGACCATCTTGCAAAGGAGCTCAGAAAGGATCTTTTATTTCTGCCACAGTTTACATGGCCTCAGGGCAATGGGAAGACCTCCATTTTATTTCATGTAGAAGTGGAGTATATCTGCCACACAGATAAGACTCAAAATTTTTTCTGAACTATTTTGATCTTCTCAAAAACAGGTGGTAGTTTTCTTCCTTCAATCTACATTTTATAAATAACTATACCTTTCATAAAACCATTGGGAAAAACAGCTTAGTAAAATTTTTTAGTTCCTTTCTGTATAACACAGATGCTATCCATTAAAATAGAAGAAGTGTTGTTTTATATACTTGAAACCTGCTGCCAGTCTCCATTCACACACACACACACACACACACACACACACACACACACATGCGTGGTAGAAGGAGAGTTAAGTACATGAGGTGGCAGGTATGAGTTGTGAATCAGCCTGGTGGAATGATCATTTTGATCACTTTATATACGTTTATACATCAAAATTTCAAGTTGAACATCTTCAATATACAATTTTACTGGTCAATTATATTCCTGATAAAGATAAAATACAGCTTTCATAAGTTGAAACATTTAAAATAAATTCAGAGTGATTGTAGTATGTGAAGAAAGTGTGCCAACCCCACAAGGCTGATAGCCGATATGTCCATTCTACATGTCACCAATTCATAAAAGTTACTGTTGACCCCTGTTTTGTGCAACATATACTGGAAATTGAAGGACATATTTTTTTTTTTAGAATAAGTCTACGCAACCCCAAGGTCTGAGTCATCCTCCAGTCACCACTTAGATGCTTACCGCAGTTGGGATCTCCTTAGTGGCCTCCTGGTATACTCGTTGCTCTTTAACCAAGTTGCTGGGGAAATAACCCACAATTCCCATCTCATCCTGGTGGTCACCGTAAACCTGTGTGCCCAAAGCAGCAGCAGTCAGGGAGAAGCTGATGTCAGGGGTTTTGAGAAACTCCTCTCCTCGTAATGACAATTATGTGAGCCAGCGCTTCCCTTTAGTTGCACATTCCAGGGAATTCAGAGCAAATGTGAAATTGACTGGAAGCATCAGGAATTGCCAATCTGATCTTTTGGAGAAGATCTGACTTCTCTCACTACCTTAACATTACTCCTCTTTCTGCACTCCCATGTTTTGCCTGAAATCATCTGGAATCTATAGAAAACCAAGGTCAGTAAAAAATTTAAAGCAAATAGACCCCAATTTTACAGTATATATATTCCCACTTTTTTTTAAAGCATTTTAAAGCGACATATGACCCCCATCAGTTTCAGATGTATCTCTGGGATGACATCAACTATGCTTCATTCCTCCTTGGGCTCTGCTTTGGACTGTGGGTGCGTTTTAGCTCAAGCAAGCAGCTCCTGCAAAATCGAAGAGGTTTCTAAGCTTTTCTAAAGGAATTTTCTCCTTTAGACTGACCAGTCACATACGATCCTTGGCAAATCCTCTCAGACGATTTTTGAAGGAGGCTCAACTTCTATGCACTATGGAAGCCTCGGCACGCATGTTTTTCCCCCCCTTATCAAAACATCATTTTGAATTTTATCATTGTGAAATCACCCCTTTTTAAAGGGCAATAGCAAAAAATGAATCTGAGTTTTTATGTATCCACTTACAGTTCCCAAACTGTCTTTACAGCTACTCTTGGACACTAAATAGTTTGAAGACAGGAAAGCCAGGAAAAGTCAAGAGCAACACAATTAAGAAATACATATATCATACATATATATATTAAAAACAATCTCATCTTACACTGCCAGCCCAGAATTCTCCAGCTCCATTTTCTGTTACCAGCTTAGAGTAAACATAGATCTGCTGCCCTTTCTTGACATTGATGAACCTACAGTCTGGGGCATTGTAATCTTCCTGTGCTCTTGCCAGAGAAATAGTATCTGAAAGGAAATAAAAAGTGAAGTGACTAGATGTCCTATGAGCAAAAAGGCAAAGTGTGTAAGAGAGGGAGGAAAGGAGCATGCAGCTGGGTTTCAAACAGAGGAGAGAGGAGGGGGACCAAGGAAATCTTAGGCAAGCGAATTCTCCGCAGTTAGACCCCAGACACAGAACTTGAGACAGTGCTGGGGCCAATGAACGCATTTAGGATCCACTACAAAGTACAATCTGGCTTTATACCAGACAGACTTCCCATTATATGATAAAAAGGTAATGAAAAGCAAACCGTTAACAGCGCCTTACAGACACACTCCTCATCTGCACACAACTTCTTAGAAGAAAGTTTATCCATAAAAACGCCATGCCCGGCACATAGAGACACAAGGCCCCCAAGCAAAAGAATCAATATTCTTCCCATCTTCCTTCTTGCTGTTTTGACTAGCACTCTTTGCCTGATTCAGTGGTTCTTTTATTTGAAATCCAATTCTCTGGGTAAATACCCAGCCAATAGGAAGGGGCCACCCCCTTGCTCCTCCAACCCCCTCTTTTGTAATTTCATAATGTGTGCTCCTGGATTCCAGAGGCTTTTTAGCGATTCATTTTCCAGAGAGACTCAAACTCCATGTGTCTGTGTTCTGCACAAATGGTGTGCCATGCTTAAAGCTGTATCTGCCGTGGCTTGTAGTGTCCACTAGCAGACCACTATTGAGAGGCCTGTGAGACTATCAATCATTGTTTATTCTTCTTTTGTCCTCCTATCCTTTCAGTTTATGAGCAAAATTGTATTTCTGGTAGAAATCTATTCAAGATGTAACATAGACGCTGGGGAGACAGGTCAGTGGATAAGGCACTTGTTATGCAAATGTGAAGTATAGAACCCCAGAACCCTCACAAGAACTAGACAGGCGTTATGGCAGAGACAGACACAAGGCATCCTGGAGGCAAGCTTGCTAACTAGAGAAACAGGAAGCTCTGGGTGCAGCAAAAACCTCAATAAATAAAATGAAGAGAAACTGAGGAATACACACAATGTCAATATCAGGTTTCTCAAGAACACATAGGCATCCACCCGCACACATGTAAACACAGACACACACAGTGCCGCACACATGCACATCTTAAAAAGTCAAAATGTCTTGGGTACAAAATTTATTTTACTAAGCCTAATAAAATTCTAGATTTACATAATGTATGTAAATATATTTACATAATATAGCTTGTGTTGTTTGAATATGTAAATATATATTTACATGATATAAAGAACTCTTATACAAATATTTTGTGATAGGTTTCTTAGAACTCATGTTTGGCCTGAGCCACTGGTGGATTATATAACATATTTGCTAATATCACAACCAGACCCTACCAATGTGGAAGCAAGAGATAGGTGGGGGAAAAATGGGGGCAAATCCTTTATTCCAGTGTACGTAATACATAATACACATGCTTGAGACAATCAGTTTATAAAGAAAAAGTTTATTTGTGTGAGTTACAAGTCTGGAAGTTTCAGTTCATGATCACTGCCCCCATTCATCTGTGTCTGTGGCAGATGTGGTGGAAGTCAGTAACAGAAAACACCACTTAGGGCTGGGAAACCGAAGATATGGAAAGAACAGCTAGCAGGACCTTGCAATCCCCTCTGTGTCACTCCCAATGACATATGCACCTCTCAGTAAGCCTCACTCCTCTAAAGTTCTACCTCCTCCCAACTGCACCAATCTGGGTAGTACACTTTTTAACATGAAGATGGTGTTTTAGAGGCATTCAAGATCAAAACTGTAGCAACTTCCTCCAAGGATCGTGTATTTAATCTACAAATACTATGATTGATCCTAGAGAAAAAGGTGAAACTTGTGGTTTGTTACTATGGTGGTTTCAATGAAAATCCCTTCATGCTACCATGGTTCCAACCATGATGATAATGGACTAAATCTATGAACTGTAAGACAGTACCAATCAAATGTTTTCCTTCGTAACAAGTCATCGTGGTCATGGTGTGTCTTTAGAGCAGTAAAACTCTAAGACGGTTTTTCCCACTTTTCTATCTATCATCCATCTAATCTATCTTTCTTGCTGTGTTCTTTAGGATCCAGCTCCATCTGAGGCCTTCAGGGAGAATCCCCAGGATAAGCCAGCAGTCTGATCTAGTGATAGTATTCTGGCTGCTGTTCACTGCTTATCTGCTCAACCTTAGTGAGACCATGTCTCAAAAACAGAAACAGAGAAATGGCTGGAATACAACTCAGTGTCTGGCTTTTTGCTTAGCATGCAGAAAGCCCTGGGATCAGTCTACATTACAATAAATCAGTAGTTAATAAAATGTCAAATCTCAGGGACTGTACCCCAGGCTCAGTCTCACCATAGGGAATAGGGCGTAGTACAAGGTCAATAAACTGAAATATCCATATCCTTGATGGAAGGATGCCCCATCCAGAGTACTATGACTCAGGAAAACTGAGGGACACCTTTTACCTCATCTCACACTTTTCATCTTGCTCTCTCAGATGGGGACTCAGTCAGGCTCACCCCTTGGTTACAGCATGTGTCTGTATATACACATCGCATATACAGTGATAAAATATGTCCTGCTTACTCACAGCAGGGTGCTCATTTTACTATTAATGTGCTGCTCACTGGTTGCTGCAATCTGCTCCCTTCAACTTCGGTTTCATTAGCTGCTCCAAAAGAACCTAGCCCCATTATGGAGATGTATATGCTTTCAGATGTGCACAAAAATAACTGTTGATGGTAGGACAATAGACCAGTAAACAGAATACAAATAAAAGTTTATTGTACAAAATTAAGGCTCCATATTTCATAGTTCAACAAAATGAAAAAAAAATTAGGTAACTCTTTTCCCAAAACTTCATCTTCACTTCCAACCATTTAAAATGACTTGATCAAATATTATCAAAACAAACGCTATAAATAATACCAAGTCCTTTAACGCTGGCATCCCACATGTCACTTTTTGGCATAGGTAATCTTCATGGCATGGGACGGCGTGATCTTAAACCCCTGTAGAGCATCTCTGGCAGCTCCAGCCTGCCCATCATTTTCAAATTCTACAAACGCTATGTCATGTCTCCCCGGTACCAAGCGAACCTCCTTGAAACCAGGGAACCTAGGAAAAACAGAAGCAATAAATACAGGTAAATGTATACTTAAATGTGTTGAGTAACTTCCCACTACTGGTCTAGAAAAAATAATCACATCCAACCAAGAATCCCAAGTAGGATAAAGGCATTTGACATCAAGTTTATCATGAAGGAACTCCAAGAGTCCATGCTGCTAATTCCACAAATTCTATTTGTCATTATGTCAGAGCTTGTTTCCTGCTTTATCCGTTAGAATAACTCCAGCAGAGGACATCTAGCTCTTTAGATTATAAGCCTGAGCCTGGCTTCAATTCATGATTCATCCCAGACTAAAATCAATGACTCCTACTGTGGAGTGACAAATGACCTCAGTGGATACAAGTGCTATCTGCCCTGTTAGGAGGCTCCTACAAACACATTTGTTTAGTTTAAAACAACAACTTACTGGTTGAACAACATGGATAACATCATCTCATTCGTCTCCTCTGGTAAGTTATTAAGGAATAGGATATAGTTTGGAGGGTAATCAGGGACCTATTAAAACAAAAGATAAAGTTAACTTGTGAATATAAACTGCACTGCAAGATATTTGATTGTAAGAACATGGAAACTTCATCTGCAGAGAGCTCCACTGCAGCTCACATGGGCCTGGGAAACCTAAACACACCAAAAGAAAGCTGAGAACAATGGCACAGAGATACAGCTAGAAACCCAACAACAGGGGAAACCAGCACCCACGTCATGACACCCCATATCTGGAAGGTTATGATTCTGGGAAACCAGTATTTATAGATGAAACACCTGTAGGTCAGTCATGACTGCAGAATTCTGTCACCTGGAATACAGAATTGAAAAACTAGAAAAGGCAGCAACATCAGCCTGCTCAGCTGCTCACTCTACTTAGCTTATACCCCAGCGTGTGACTCCTGGCGCATCACTGCTTACTATCAGAACAGGAGAAATTAACAACTAAAGTGTTACTGCTGAGAACCACAACCTGCTGACATTTACTCTGTATGTATGTGTGTGTGAGTTAGTCTGTGTGCACAAATGCATACAGTAAAGGGTATGTGTTGCATCTACTAACTAAAACAAGCAGAATACTAGATATCAAGTCATGTCCTCAGTACTCTATCCTGAGACTACAGGGAATATATATGAGAAGACACTCTGGCTACTTGCTAGTATCATGAACAGATAAGATCAAGTATAAAAAGCAATTAGTAAACAATGTAAGACAGAAAATCAAGTGCTGGTATTTGTGAACCAACTACAAGTTCTGAAAGAGTTCAAAGAATAGAAAGAAAGATGGTAAGAAAATGCAAAGTGTCAGGTATAGTGATAGTATCTGTAATCCCAGCACTCAGGAAGTTGAGACATGAGGATTCAGAGTTTTGAGATTATCATCAAGACTATCTCAATGGGACTGAAGGGTGCTGGGCAGCTCAGTAATACAGCACTTGTCTAGTCTAGACCAGTCCCGGGGTTCAATATCCAGCAACAAAGAGGAAAAGAAAAATCGAAAGCACATAACTCTAATATTCTAACTTTCTCAGTGATACGGAGATGTGAGTCATGTCAGACTCTATAATTTAGACTATATACAAAGCAGAAAATGTAAAAACTGAGGCTGAACCAGGAAAGAAGCAAGGCTAATTGCAAGCACTGCTGCCCACCATGAACCTGAGAAAAACAGGGCAGTGTGTCAGCCTGGATGGAAACAGTCTCACCAGTATTCTGACCGTTTGTCTGAAGCCCCGACATGTGCCTTCGATAAGCCCTCACACTATCTGCTTTGTCACCGACTCATGGGAAACAAGTAGTCAGGACAGGCTTTGTGTTCTTGTCTTAGGGAAACTTACATGTTTTGAAGAGTGGGTTTCTTAAAATGACAGGTAATTATGTCTTGCAAATGAAATTACTTGTTTTTGAAGACAAGTATACTATTTTATATTGCAATAATTTTTATGATCTTAAAGCAAGCTGTAGCAGCATATTTTCCCCAAAAGTTAGGAGGAGCTAAGGTGGGAGGAGTAAGGAGAGAAAGAAGAGGAGTAAGGAGAGGAAGAGGAAAAGGAAGAGGAGGAGCTAGGGAGGAGAGATGAAGGAGAATGGAGAACCACGCATGTATCGAGAGCAGTCCTGGGTAACAAGTTATATCTAGGTTAGTTAACTGGTTTACACTTCCAATTGCGTGGGCATCTTGTTAATTGAGCATTATCAAACATATAAAGCCTTTGGTTAATCTTTAAGCATTAGATTTCATTTCTACAGGGTACCACGTGGATGGCGGGATGGTCTGGGCTCAGCCCAGCCTTGTTGAGAAAGCATGGAAGATTGGCGTCTCATGGGTGGCAGGGCCAGTGTCTATGGCCGCCTGAGCCAGCAGCCTGAGCCAAGTAGCAGCGAGAACATGCCACCGCCACTTGTGGCCACAGGCCTTGTCTAGTCTGGAAGATGTCGGTTGATTAAGAACAAGCCAGATTGAGTATCACCGATTTAAATATCTTCCGCAACAAAAGCACTCCATGGAGGAAAACATTACCTGAGGATTTGGCGCTGCATTTCCTTGGGTATTAGCTGAATTGGGTGTGCCCTACAAAAAAGGCATATAAGCATTAGAGAGAGTCAAGTAGATTTAAATAATTTTTAATCATTTTTTTTATTATTTCACTTTTAATAGAGATTTCAAATGTTGCCTCTTTAATTGTTCAAAAAAGCTCTGAGTAGGACACTCATGATGAAGAGATTATGTACAATTTATAGGCAGATTTTAAGAAAAATGTCAGTAGGTATGTCTTATAGAAAGATGTCATAAAACTGTATGCTGAATAAAACCATTTACTGCAAATCGCTGATATTCTAAATTGTTGCTTAAATATAAACACTAGAATTTTACTATTTACACTAGAGTTTAATTATCTCGGACTCTTAAAACTTCCTTTTTAAACACACACACATGTGCAATAAATGCAATCCCCAAAGACCATGCCTCATGTAAGTGAATAAACACACACACACACACACACAGAGCACACACAGAGGGACATGAATATGGACATGGACACACATATCTGCATGTGCACTGCTCTGTCTCACCTGACCAGGCTTCTTGTTTGCAGCTGCTGCAGCCTGTTCCATGGTCTTAGCTTTCTTCTTTTCCTTTTTCTTTTCCTTGTCAGCGAAAGTACCACGCATTTTAGATATTATATCGGAATCTGTTTTTGCATACTGAATTCTCTGTTTTAATTATAGGAAAACAATTTACTTTGTTGAAGGATGTTTACACTAGTTGTTAACCTTTTAAATCTAGTACATAAATACACTGCAAACCAATTTTAAACACATCTCTAAGGAAATAGTTGAAATAAATTAATAGAAATAAGTTGTGGCCTACAATTCACAATACAGCAAAGTACACCCACCTGTCTTTAATAAAGGACAACCAAGGTTGGCCTGGGTGGTGCTGATCTATAACCTAAGCACTCAAGAGGCCAAATCAAGAATATCACACGTAAGAGGCCAGCCTGCGCTACAGAGCAATTTTAAAGTTAGCCTGAAAAACTCTTAGAATTTATTTCAAAATAAAAGGTAAAGAGATACAGCTAAGTAGGAGAGCAAAGTCCTATCCTGTATAAAGCCCCAAGTTCAATTCCTGCCACTAACACAAAAACAAACAACCGAAAGCAACTAGACCAGACTTCATGTGGTAAGAACAAGGCTAAAAAAGCTATATTACTGCTTCTTCTGTCTTAATAAGTATGAAAACTTATCAGTGAGTCACGGAAGGATCAATATGTGTCAATCAGCTGTGGAATGTATCATATTTGTTACTTCCAGTGACTAAAATCCTAAGTCTGTAAATAACTTTCCTTTGAATCTATCATTTTCAAAAAATGAATTCAGTAACTTAAATCTTAAAGTGGCTTGAGAGGAAATAATAGAGAGATACAGGCTGCTATGACTGGGCTTAGTCTTCCTATACCAGACAGGCAGCAAGATGGTAGGCACCTAAGATCAGCGAGCACTCAAACACACTGGCCTACACTAATGCTTTATCAAGTATATTGCACAATCCACAAGCCTAGTGAGTATCTAAGCATGCAGATTCTGACACAGTAGTGTAGGTAAGGCTGCAGACTCACAAAGGAAATGATGGCCAGCTTTGAGGAATGGGCCTTAGACAAACTAATAAACTTGCCACATGGCTAAATTCACCACTGATGAAATGGCCAAATATTTCTGACAAACTGTAGTTACTTATGGTATAGCTGTCTGCAAGCTGTAATTTCAATTCAACCAAACACATCTCTGGAGCTCACAGAGTCAACATTTCTCTGATGACATCAAAACACAACAATTCCATAAAGTATTCTTATTCCAATTCTACTGATCTTGGTCTGAAGAGACAGAAAAGCATTTTCATGTAGTGTAAACAGAAGGCAAGGATTTCTTAAAATCAAAATGGATTCTTTCTTTCCTCTCCTTCAGCTAGCAAAGAATATACCAGGGAGAGAAGAGGAAAGCAGGCACCCCTCAGAACCCTTGGTCTTCTACTGCAGCAGACTCCACACAGCTCTGCTAACCTTCCCTTCATTCTAACAAACAAGACTGCTCAGAACTCAGGTCTGTTAGGTCTTCAACCTTGTCCCTGACCTGAACAGATCCTGGGTACCGGACTTGTCTGACTTCATAACACAGTTACCTAAGAAAGTATCTGAGTTCAACAACAGCTCTTACCAGGACATAATGCAGCCTGTCCAGAGACAACTGGCACTATCTAAAGACACTGCTAGCTGAGGTGCTTTTATCCTCTAGTGGGTAGAGGCCATGGAGTCTACTAATCACCTTGGTGAATAGCAAAGATTCCCAAAGTGCTATTAGTAATAAAACTCTGTTCCAAATGCCCATGTAAAATAAAATATAATCCATCCCTTGAAGATAGCAGAGAACAAGATTTACATTTATCCCAAAAGGCTCATGACAGAATCCTCAGGACAGTAGTTCTACTTCACTGAGGTAATTTTGTTTTGAGTTAGAAATGAAAGCAAATTCTGCTTCCTTCTGATCTAATGTAAAAGCACCTAAATATAAGTAAGGCAGCTCAAAGAATCTTATTTATCCTGTCCAGAAGCTGGAGATCTGGCAGCTCCTGCTAACTTTCCTCAAGGCAGACAGAGAACAGACCTCTAATATAGCCTTCAATGGAAAATTAGACCAATGGACATTTCCTATTCATTTTAAAAAGTGAGTTGGCAGGATAAGACTAGTGCCAAACACAGCAAACATTTCCTCCCTTCTTATCTCCAGTTAACCAGGTACATATCAACTTGCTATTTCAATTCAGCCAAATTACCTAAAGAAGTCTCATGCTCCAAGCACATGATCTAGACTATGTAAATTCTTCATATTAAGTAGTATTAGCTGATTTCAGGAAGTTCACCTTACTGAAACCCGGGAACAGTATGGTACAACATAAGGGCTCCAAACTGCTGCTGACAGCTCACACTATAGGGCTGGCTGGAGCACACCATGCCCATTCTCTTGTGTATGCACTGTTTTTCCTGATTTCCTTACCGTCTAAGAGAAGAACTACAACAGAAGAGCATCTGGCGATATTACTACCTGACCATACTAGAAAGTATGTTCCCATCTAGCATATAAAAAGCATGATAAGTCTAGATGTTTAAGATTAGTGTCCAAGTGCTGATGCTGCACTGGCTACAAGAATACACCCTAAATGAATAAGATTAGCCTCATGCCCAATCTTTTTCCACGACATGCAAGGACTAGACCAGAAGCATGTACTACAGCCTTTAGGCCAAATCCATATCATGACCTGTTTATGTACAGTCTGCAAGTTAACAATTATTATTTTTTTAAAGCTTTATCTTTTTTGGGGGGTGGGGGTAAGGATTTATTTTATATACGTGACTACACTGTCACTCTCTTCAGACATACCAGAAGAGGACATCAAATCCCATTACAGATTGTGAATCACCATGTGGTTGCTGGGAATTGAACTCGGGTCCTCTGGCAGAGCAGTCAGTGCTCTTAACCACTGGGCCATCTCTCCAGCAACAATTATTTTTAACACAGTTTTAAAAGGTTAAAAACACGCAAGCACAAGCAGTAAATATCAGAAACGTTATATGGTCAGCAAAGCTTGGAGTTTCACTGAGTCTTACACCCAGTGCTCTCTGGACTACCCCCTCCCACTTTATTTTTTGAGACAAAGTCTTATGTACCCTGGGATCTCCTTGAACTTCTGATCTTCCTTCCTCTCCTCCCAAGAGCTGAGAATCCATGCATGTGCCACCATGTCTACCTTAATTTCTCTTGCTTTAAAATAATTTTGTGTTACTTTATTCTTCAATGACATAAATCATAATATATTTTAGCTTTGCTCATTTTAAGTAGAATAAATTAATAGTCAATTCAGTTCTAGTAGTGTATTTTTATAACAATATTCATATATAAGACTCGTGTGATAGTGCATACCTATCATCCCAGCACTTGGGGTGATAAAAACTTGGAGTCTTAAGCCCTGGCTACATAACAAGTTAAAGGCTAGCCTAGGGTACCAGAGACCCTGTCTCAAAAGAAACAAAATACCTATATAATACCCCCAAAATTTCTCTAAACAAACAACCAAACCAACCAACCAAACAAACAAAACCAAACAAACCAAAAATAGCTTAGTATTAACTCCTGACTTAAAGAAAGAATTCACTGTACCACTCAATAATGATTAAAGCAGAAATAACAGGTTTAGCTCACCATTGGTTTACCATAAAATGGAAATCCTTGTAACTGTCTCAAAGCATTTGTGGATGAACCCAGTTCCTTAAATATAACAAAAGCCTGTCCCCTCATCTTCATGGTCTTTAAAGCCACAATATCTACTACATGTCCAAACTGAGAAAACAGGGCATACAGAGATCTCTTCAATTCTGAATAAGAAAGAAAACATTTTGTGAAGGGAACATTGATTAAATTCTTCATAAAATAACAATACAACAACCACCTCTACCATTCATTTATTTACAGTGATTTAGCAAAAACACCACACTACTCCCATTGGCTAGCCAATTTAAATAGTTACTTAAAACCATTTGTGAAATACTTCAAAGCACTTCAATCCCTGCATGTTCTTATATTTAAAAAATCTTAAAGTTGGGGGCTGGAGAGACGGCTCAGTGGTTAAGAGCACTGACAGCTCTTCCAGAGGTCCCGAGTTCCATTCCCAGCAACCACATAGTAGCTCACAACCATCTGTAATGGAATCTGATGTTCTCTTCTGGTGTGCCTGAAAACAACGATCCTGTATTCACGTACATAAAATAAATAAGTCTTTAAAAAGAAATCTTAAAGGTGTGTAAAAATGGGATTAAACCACTGATGAACACCAAGATGACTAGAGGAGACACTGACATCATTCCTAAGACACAAGTGAATAGTCACATTTTAGTTGTGAAAAGTGTTTTCAAAAGAACATACCTTCTTTTTTAATTTTGTCATTCATGTTGTTGATATAAATTGTGTGATTTGGTCTGATATCCATGTTTGGGAAAAACCCTTCAAGTAGCCTAAAAGAAATAACGTATAATCTGTTATTAGCAAGGAGGTTCTATCATGCAGGTGTATGGCATGTCCCAAACCAGCAACTATTAGCTGCTTTATTATTTTTCCACAGCAGATGTCAGAAAACATTTAGCTGGAAGTAAACAACCATCTCTCCCTAGTTCCCACATCCATCTTTTTTAGACAAATGGAAAATAGCTCTCAAGATCAAACCTTGGTAGAACAATACCAAGATTCTACAAATTGGTAGAATCTGTCAATACATAGGCAGATTTAGAAACATATTATTCAGTTATACTTTTTTTTAGCCCTCACTTAAATGATACTGCTCTTTCATCTACATAATGAAGTAACTTTTTAACTTTTGTAAGTATATTTACTAATTCTTTGAGAATGTCATACCATTTTGATCATATTCACTGGAAAACAGCTTTTCCCCCAGTAAAATGATTTAAACATTTTGTAAAAAAAAAAAAAATCAGTAAACACACACCTAGTTAAAAAAAAAAAAAAGAAAATCATTGTAACAGAACAATAAAACAAACGTATTTATTTAACCATCAGTGCCATCATACATAGTGAGGTCAGAGAACCACCTTTCAGGGACTTTCAACTCTGTCTCTTCTTCCACTATGTGGGTCTCAAGAGCCAAACTCAAAAGTGGTCAAGGTTGGCAAAAAGTACATTTACCTGCTGAGCCATCTCGACAACTCTCAAATCTATTTATAAATTCAAGGGTGTGTGTATGTACACGTACACCTCAGGATCCCTCCCATCTGACAGATTTGAAGGAGGTGACTTAGAAGACAATAAGATACGGATTTAAGGTCTATGCTTTTACAACTTGCTTCAATGTGGGGCAAGTTCCTTAATGTCTCAGGTCCTCAGCTACAAATTATGGAAAGTAACAGCTCCTATAAAATGGAGCCAGTAAGATTATATGAGACAGCTATGCAGCAGTCTGTGTCAGTAAGCATCTAAAGTTACTATTTATTATCGATGGCTATTACACGTTAAAGGAGATAAGTGTCTTAAGGCCACACAAAAAGCTGTTCTGTACACTACAGAGTGTTTGTTACAGGAAGGGCCTGTACGATGTAGGTAACGGATAATAGGTAACGTTAATCAAAGGCTTGCCTCCCTAAATGGGGACCTGGAGAAGGGCTGGGATCTCAAGAGAAAGACAAAAGCAAAGGCTCTAATTAGCTCCTGCGGGCTCAAACAGTGCAAGGGCACCTGAAACCCAAAAGGCTGCCAGAGGCGAGGTGGCGGGAATAGACGGAAAGTGCACAGTGTAAACCCTCCCCAGCCCCCAGCCCCCACCCCACCGCCTCAAGCAAGCAGCGGGCCATTCTTTTTCCTTGGGCTAATTCCTATGTGTCAGCTTGAGCCTCTTTACACACTGGCCAATCTACCCCAACACTAGGGTCCTCGGACGTTAAAAACCCAACCATCCCGTAGAGAACAGAATGTGATAATGTGACGCCGGGCCTCAACCCGCTCGCCCTAAGGTCGCCGTCCCTCCCTCCCATACGTTCGCGGAGCCGGGAATCACGCAACCGACGACACCTCTGCCCTCGCTGGCTCAGTTCCAATGGGGCGGGATCCTGCCAAAGGCCGAGACCAGCCACAGTAAGGAAGACCCCGACAAACCCACCTAAAGCCGGTGAGATCCGATGGAAGGCAAAGCGGAAGAGCCTCCCAGCGCCGGAAGAGAGCACCCAGACTCCTCAATCGAACTCAGATAAGTCGAAGAGCCGAGCACAGATTCAATCGATGTCTCCTCGCCAAGACCGCGGGAGGCAGAATATTTCTGCGCACGCGCGTCCCGGTTTCCTGGAAAGTTAACTGTGGAAAGGGAAGAACTGGAAATCTAGGATCCAGGGGCCAAGCTGCGAAGGCTGAGAAGGGAAGGGTAGGGGATCGTTTCCCTTACTGCGACTTTGAAGCTTCCCAGTTTTATGATATGATACAATTTTACAGGAGCGTGTCTCCAGCGGCATGTTAGTCTAGCCTTTCTATGGGTTCTGGCCAACTTGGCTTAACACCAACTTTAGAATGGCTGTTGTCAGTCCCTGAAGTCAATCTCTGGGAGTCTGAAAGGACATCTCAGCACTCTACATATTACATCTTAGATGCAGCCCAGTCTTCGACCCAAGAGCAAAGAGAATTCGTGAGTCTTTGCTGGTACTCTCACCAGGCTTCCGGAGTGAGAAAACTAAACATCATATGCCTAAACTCACTTACTTAGAAATGGTTAATTCCCACCCACTCTCCCACTCTCCCACTCTCTCCTTTCCTCACAAAATGCCTGGATTTTTTTTCTAGGCTAAATTTGGGGCAGGGACCAAATTGATTGCCTTTATCAGCTTGAGGTTTGTAATTTTTGAAAGTCACATGAAGTTGCAGAATGGAAAGTTTTGAGAGTAGTAATTTTATCCACTTTGTTGACTGAAATAATTAGGAGGATGACTTATACTCGATAAATTTGTATCAGATGAATGAATGAAGTTTCATGAAAATTAGGCCATAATAAAACAAATGTGAAGGCCAATGAAAATCCTGTAAATATAGGAAGTAACGTTAAACAAGCACAGAAAAGCGTTCCTTAATTACATGGATATGGAAACCAGTCTGGTTTTTATAAAAAGGATATTGAGTGTATTCTTAGCAAAAGTGCATCTAGTAAATATAAAATAATTTCTAAGCAACAAGATCAGAGTAGTTGATTAACTGTGCTTGGTAGTAATGAGAGCTCTGGCATAAGCTATAACCTGCCTGTGTTGTATACATTGATCTGGCCGAGAGGTCATAGCTATTCTCAAAATGCAAATGTATAAACATGCAAAGACATGACACCTGGGAAGAAAAATAAAGAAATTTAAAGAAATTCCACGCCTGTTCTACCAAAGCTTGAATCACGGCTACTACACTCTTACCCAGCAAGTAGGGAATTGTCCAATGGCAGTTTGGTGTCAGTGGTTTCCGTGCTCTTTTCCAGGTTTACTAAGAATGACCACATTTTCATATCCGTGAGTAATCACTCCAAGCTTTCCTGAATGGGTCTTCAACAGTTTCCTGAATGAATGGGAAACTAAGAATTGAAATAGGGTCTGATGGGGAAAGGGCTTTCCTGGTTGTTGCAAAGTATTTGATCATACTGTGAACCCAGAGATTGTGTAATTTACCGAAAAAAAGATGTTTCTAGTTTGGTGTGGCTCAGTTGTAGCACACACCTTTAATCCCTCTGGCAGGAATACAGATATGCCCTAAGGACACACCTTTAATCCCAAACAATGAAAGTAACATTAGTTGGTAGAAGGAATTACCCTTTTGAAAGTGATGTCTAGGGCTGGAGAGACGGCTCAGCAGTTAAGAGCACTGACTGCTCTTCCAAAGGCCCTGAGTTCAATTCCCAGCACCCACATGGTGGCTCACAGCCATCTGTAATGGGGTCTGGTGCCCTCTTCTTGTGTGTCTGAAGACAGCTACAGTCTACTTACATAAAATAAATAAATCTTTAAAAAAAAAAGAAAGATGTCTAATTGAGTGGCAGACAAAGTAGTGAATCAAAAAAAAAAAAGATTTGGCAGAATATGAGAGAATTCTCAACTCTCATGAGAAGAGAGAGGAAAGGAAAGCTATTTAAGAGGGCAGTGCAGAGAGAGGGAGGGGGAAGAGAGGAAGGAAGGAAGGAAGGAAGGAAGGAAGGAAGGAAGGAAGGAAGGAGGGAGGAAGAGGCAGCATTTTACCAGGAGAGTTTTACAGAGACAGGTTTAAGAGAACAATCTAGACACAGGTGAAGACAGAATGAGCCAGATAATGAGAAGGAGCCTGGAGGTTAGAACAGATTACTAGAGTTAGTTTGTGGTCAAGCAGAGCAATTCAGGAGAGGGAAGGAGGGAGGAAGGGAGGGAGGGAGGAGGGAGGGAGGGGGGAGGGAGGGGGAAGGGAGGGAGGAAGGGAGAGTGGGGAGATAGAAGCCAGATTGAGGCAATAAACCTCAGAGACAACAAGTACAACAAGCAAATAAAAGATTCTTTTATACCTGGTTCTTTGGGAAACCTTGTAATCACCTGATTCTATATCTAAATTATTAGGGGGACAATACTACCCAAACTGTAGTCTCATATACATGTAATATAAAGAAAATTGAATATATTATAAACTAATCTTATATAAACTCTGACCTCTTGCTGGTCAAACTAGGAATTAGATATCAAGAGCTCACATTTTAAAAACTAATAGAAGAGAACATATGTTTCCCTGGAGTTCTGCTTGGTTTAGATTCATATTTTTGTTAGGCAATGAGATTTACTTTCCAGTGAAACAGGTTTTTTATTAAACTAAGCCCAGAGGCAGCATTAAAACCATCATATACAAGCTTCATGCATCTACTAACGATAAAATTTGCTTATTTTCAGAGCATCAGAAAAATTACTACGACCAGTTGGGAATAAAACTGTGTCAAGACACCTAAATTATAAAGATGATGGCTGTACTGTCTCTTAGTGGCTCTCAATACACATATATTTTCTGTACTTTATCTGCACATGTTTTATGTTTCTCATTAAATGTTTTCCAGTATCTTGCAGCAGTGACTTTGGGAAAGGAACATGCTTGAAGGAAAAGGTACCATAAAACTATACTGGATATATTTTGTCTTATTTATGCTATAGCATAAATATTGGGCCAGAAAATGTATGGCAACTTGTTTGCATCTTTTTTTTCTCCCTACAGGTGGTAATTACACTAAAAATTTATATAGAATGAATTATTTTCACAACAAGCATTAAACAAGTCTAAGTATTATTATTGAGCACCAAATCAAGTTTACATTTCCTCAGCTGGTTGAAATTATGTTCAGTTAAGTTTTTACTAAAAAGCAACTCTCTCCATTCTGGAAGGAAATAAATTTTTACAATTGATTTCCTTTCATTGCATTTCAGTGTTACTTTTTAAATTCTTAAGCACACTCTTAGTTTTAGAGACAAATAAATAAGCAAATGAATGACAGAATGACTATTGTATGTAACGAGTATTACATATACCATGATATTGTATGTAATGTCATGTGGTACATGCTACACTCCAGTGTCATTCACCTGTCTCAGAATGATACCCTCTCCCTGGATTTGGGTAGGACCTTAGGTAGGCTATGGCAATACATGCAATTCCAGGTTTTTTTGTTTTGTTTTAAATTTGGAGATCTGAAAGTCAGCCAGTAAAAGACAAGGAGAAAGTTGGGACATTCTGTGCATAGTATACGATTGTCTATCAGGTAAAGTAACGTCACACCGTTCCCTTGGAGACTGCCAGTCCAGCATACCTAGGTAATGAAATTTTAAGTAGTGGTGCATGCCTTTAAGCCAAGTATTCTGGAAATAGAGGCAGAAGGAAATTTGTTAATTCAAGGTCAATCTGGTCTGCATAGCAAGTTCCATGCCAGCCAGGCTAAAGTGAGCCTTATCTCACATACAGGTAAAAAATTGTAAGCATAGTTAGTCATGTTTCTCGTATGATTCACCACTGTAAATTATTTGGGGTTCTTAGATCCTGTAACTATTTGAAATCTAAGTTTTTAAAAAATCCATTTTTAAATGTCGATTGATCCCTAACTGTCTAATTTCAAGCATGATGTATTACTGATTTCATGGGCACGGTACAGATGTCCAAATCTATTGCTTCTCAAATGCTAACAAGTACATAGTTTACTCGAAGTTTTGGAAAAAAAAATCTGATTAGGTGAGATTAGACTAGGGCATGAGAAGTTCTGACAATCAGCGGCTAGGTGATGCTGATGCCTCTAGTCCTGTACTACGTTTTAGGTACTGAGATGAGAGTTCTCATTTTAAAAATATAGTTTATCTATATCTCTATCTCTATATTAAAATATAACTTTATATTTATAGTTATCTATAAGGTGTCAGAGATAATGTCAAATACAGAATACTAATGTCTTAGCACATAGCCTGCTGTTATAACAAAATTATCTAAAATTAGGTAGTTTATAAAAATTGAAATTTACTTAGCTCACTATTCCAGAGGCAGGGAGTCCAGAGCATGACATGAACATTTGGTCAGCATCTGATGAGGGCTTTCTTGCTACATCACAACATGGCAGTGGGCAACACGCAGTGAAGCAGAACATATATGCCTGAGAGAGTTCCTATTATAGGGAAGCCACTCCCAAGACAGCCCATTAAACCAGTGATTTGAATGAGAAAAGTCCCCTTAGGCTCTTATATTTGAGTCCTTCTTCCCCAGTTGGTGAGATTGTCTGAGAAGGTTTGGGCTGCATGTTGGTGTCAGAAGAGGTGTCTCATTGAGGGTAGGCTTTGAGGATTCCAAAGACTGATGTAGAAAGAATGGTGCAATATATGGATACATCACCTGTCAATAAAATGCTATTGGCCTATTAGCTTAGGTGGGAAATAGGAAGGTGGGAGTTCTAGTACAGAGTGAGAATTTCAGGGATAGTGTCAGGTGCAGGAAGATTCATCCTGAATTCTGAGAAAGATTGTCTCATGAAACTAAAGGAGAGGTAACTAGCCACTTGATATAACTTAGACTAGTTTAAATGAGATATTGAGTTATGAGATAGTGAAACCAAGCCAAAGCTATTAGCTTAGGTATTTATTCATATCTAGGAAGTCTCAGAGTTGTTATTTTAGGAAAAGCTAGCTGTTGGGCATGTCATTCTCAGCACGTTCTCTCCCTCCCT